ATATGTCAAAAGCATGACTGTGTATATCTAATCAACTAAATGATTTTTGTTTATTCACTTCATCTGAGCTAGATCTCGTATTTCTATGCACCATTTTGCAATGTTTCTCCTAAAAGCTCTGAAAAGGTAATTGAAAAGATGTCTCTAAAAAGCAAGACGTTGTGCAATTTTACTTCTCCTGTTAGGGCTTGGAGTGCATTTAATGTGCTTCTGGAGTGAAGGTACTGATTTGGTTTTAGCAAAATGAAATTTGGTTCTGCTCTGCAGACTGACTGAAACTCCTAGTGTAGACACAGCTTTTATGCATCTGATTTGTTTCTAAATTTCATTCAGATGCTCAACCAAGCATCTTCATATAATTTCTTGTGTTCTTAAGGCTACAAGGTAGGTAGGTCCCTTTGAAAGCCTTCAGACATTTGTGAACCATGTGCATGGTAGGTATGTTTTGTCCAGGGTGCCAAACCATAGTCTGAAGTGAAACCTTCAAACTACATACATTGTAGACAGAGCACTAAGGACTTCAGTCTCCTGATTGTCTCCTGTTGCACTGAATTACTTGTTTATACATGAAAAGCTCTGGATTCTAGTTTGGTTTTGGTTTCTCCGCCCCACCCCATCTCCTCTGCTCCTGTCTTTACTTCAGTTCTCTAGGTTTTATTTCCAGTATGGAACTGTGAAGGCCAAAAGTATTTCTAAATTTCAGAAAAAAGGGTTAGTTATTTATATTGGTAGCAAAAAATTATTTATGAGTATTTCTCCTCTGGAAAAGATACTAGTTTCAGATAGCGTGGTACAGCTGGTCATGCAGGGATTTGGGGGAGGAGCATTAGATATCTGCTGCAGGATGTTTTTTAATTCCTTCTTTTAAAATATATGGTGCTTGCCAATCTGAAACAAAATTCAGAAATATATTAATCTCAGATGTTATACAGCTTGGGTGGTGTTGTTTCTCAACAGCTAGCTACTTGTTCTTTTTGCTTGTTTTCAGTCTTCCTTGCATAAAGTTGAACATACTATCAAACGTTTGATGTCATGTGTTTGGAATGCATTGAAAAGTAAAATCAATCAGTTAAAAACTAAATCAGTTTGGCCTTCATTGTTAAATTATGTAATGCTTCTGCTTTTTGTTTGGCCTATATATTGTTGTTTTGTAAAGGAGCTACTTAGTGCAACACAGATAAACTGAGTATTATTGCTGCTTCTTTTTCTTCAGTTGCAAATCAGTTAAGGTAATAAAATAAGCTTCATTGGAAACATTGTTATACACAGAAAGAAATATATGTGGCAGGTTTTAAGTGTAATTTGATTTTTTTTTTTCCTTAGTGATCTTAGTGAAAATCAGATTCAAGCGATACCAAGGAAGGCATTCCGAGGAGCAGTAGACATAAAAAATCTGTAAGTATTTTCCTCCTTCTTACATATATTCTGATAGTAATGCTTTGTCAATACAGTGTCCTTCTGGTGTACGAGATCTCTTTTTCCTAAGCACTTCTATAGCTGCTTAAGGAATCTCTGCAAAAAAAAACCACGTACCGTTTGTTCTGGCAAAATACTTTAACGTATCTTAAGCATCTTAAAATTGCTTATATGAAATCTAAAACATTGAAATGGAGTCGAATACAACAAGGCATTATAACTATTTTCTTATGGTAGCCTGAGTTTAATATTTGAATGTCAGGCTATTTTAAACATCTCATTGTTTCATGTGGAAAAATTAGTTTTGCCTTGGGTCTAAGAGTTTGCCTTTTGTTAGCTTGTATAAAAGAAAGAAAGAAAAATCATGCTATTATCTAGTTTTGCTAGCATATATTTTTGTACTTTTGTGACTACTTTTCTTACAGTTTTCTTCTGTGGTAAAATAAGTCCTTTCTAAAAGACAGATACTCAGTCTCCTGGAGATAGTGACCCTGAAGTTCATGGGCAAGTTTTGAATTCTTATGGCTTCTAAATGTGGAAGTATGTGAGTTTCAAGACAAAGGAAAGCAGTGACTTTTCGACTTCCTGTTTAGAGTGGTAGATCAGTTTAGTGGACTGAAAGAGCTGAACGACCTGAAGATTGTGATGAACTTACATAGTAGGAAATGCAGGGTCATGCACTCAAAAGCTATAACGCCTGCTGTAAGCTGAGGACTCATCACTTAAAAACGACCAACAAAGACAGGGGGCATACAGTAGTGGGTTCCAGAAAGACTAGGGAGCTCTCAATGTGATACAGCTGTGAAAAAATATAATTGCTATCTTATGTGGCATCAATAAAAATAGGGAAGTATTAAGCCATTATATGAGGTTTTTATGTAATTTCTATTGAAATAGTTTTTCTTAATTGAAGTTGCCACTGTTAAAGAAAGATGAACTTTCTAGTTGTGTAACTTTGAAAATGGAGTGTTCTGTGATTATAAAGGAAACGACATCATATCATATCGCCAGTAGAAGGGGGCTGGACAGGAACCCCTTTGCGCTTTTGTCTTCCTGTGATGGACTCCGCTTCATTCTGCTGCCTGCAGCACTGTACACAAATCAGTTAGGAGGGTGTTTTTTCACAGATTTAACAGAATGCCCAAGAGTTTGGCCTAGTTGATATAATATTTAGAATTTTTTTTTTTTTTTTTATTTAACCATGTTCGTGATATGGTTCTTCCCTGCAACACAGTCTTACCACATCTCAATGGAAAAAACTATTATGTTCATGGAATCATAGAATCATAGAATCGTTTAGGCTGGAAAAGACCTTAAGATCATCCAGTCCAACCATTAACCTAACACTACCAAGTCCACCAATAAACCAGTTAAGGGTAGAGTAATAATTAATTGCATGTTTCCTGGCCGGGTGGCTGGATTATTTTTAATGAAAGTAAAACTAGGAATCATTAAGGTTGGACAGGACCTCTAAGATCACCAGTCCAAACGTCAACCCAACACCAACACATGCCTACTAAACCATATCCCAAAGTGCCACATCTACACATTTTTTGAACACCTCCAGGGATGGTGACTCCACCACCTCTCTGGGCAGCCTGTTCCAATGCTTGACTACCCTTTCCGTGAAGAAATTTTTTCCTAATATCCAATCTAAATCTCCCCTGGCGCAGCTTAAGCCCATTTCCTCTTGTCCTATCACTTCTTACTTGGGAGAAGAGACCAACACCCACCTCACTACAACCTCCTTTCAGGTAGTTGTAGAGAGCAATAAGGTCTCCCCTCAGCCTCCTCTTCTCCAGGCTAAACAACCCCAGTTCCCTCAGCCGCTCCTCATAACGCCTGTGCTCCAGACTCTTCACCAGCTCCATTGCCCTTCTCTGGACACGCTTCAGCACCTCAATGTCCTTCTTGTGCTGAGGGGCCCAAAACTGGACACAGTATTCCAGGTGCAGCCTCACCAGTGCTGAGTACAAGGGGAATATCACTTCCCTGCTCCTGCTGGCCACGCTATTCCTGATATAAGCCAGGATGCTGTTGGCCTTCTTGGCCACCTGGGACAACTGCTGGCTCATGTTCAGCTGGCTGTCACCCCAGGTCCTTTTTGGCCAGGCAGCTTTCCAGCCACTCTTCCCCAAGCCTGTAGCGTCGCATGGGGTTGTTGTGACCCAAGTGCAGTACCCAGCACTTGGCCTTGTTGAACCTCATATAGTTGGCCTTGGCCCATCGATCCAGCCTGTCCAGATCCCTCTGTAGAGTCTTCCTACCCTCAAGCAGATCAACACTCCCAGCCAATTTGGTGTCATCTGCAAACTTACTCAGGGCACACTCAATCCCCTCATCTAAAAGCTAAAGATATTAAGACTGGCCCCAAAACTGAGCCTGGGGAACACCATTTGTGACCAGTCACCAACTGGATTTAACTCCATTCACCACAACTCTCTGGGCTCAGCCATCCAGGCAGTTTTTTAGCCATCAAAAGTACACCTGCCTAGGCCATGAGCTGCCAGCTTCCCTAGGAGAATGCTGTGGGAGACGGTGTCAAAGGCTTTACTAAAGTCTAGGTAGAAAACATCCACAGTCTTTCCCTCGTCCACCAGGCAGGTCACCAGGTCATAGAAGGAGATCAGTTTGGTCAAGCAGGACGTGCCTTTCGTGAACCCATGCTGACTGGGCCCGATCCCCTGGTTCACCTGCACCTGCCTGTTGAGCATACTCAAGATGATCTGCTCCATAATCTTCCCCAGCGCCGAGGTCAGGCTGACAAGCCTGTGGTTCTCTGGATCCTCCTTCTGGCCCTTCTTGTAGATGGGTGTCACATTGGCAAGCCTCCAAGTCATCAGGGACCTCCCCTGTGAACCAGGACTGCTGATAGGTGATGGAGAGTGGCTTGGCAAGCTCCTTGGCCAGCTCCCTCAGTACTCTCGGGTGGATCCCATCTGGCCCCATAGACTTGTGAGTGTCCAGGTGGCGTAGCAGGTCATTAACTGCTTCCTCCTGGATTATGGGGGCTTCATTCTGCTCTTTGTCCCAGTCTTCCAGCTCAGGGGGCTGAATACCCTGCAAATAACTGGTCTGGCTATTAAAGACTGAGGCAAAGAAGGCATTAAGTACTTCAGCCCTTTTCTCATCCTTGGTGGCAATGTTTCGTCTGCATCCAATAAAGGATGGAGATTCTCCTTGGCTCTCTTTTTGTTGTTAATGTATTTGTAGAAACATTTTGTATTCTCTTACAACAGTGGCCAGATTGAGTTCTAGCTGGCTTTTTGCCTTTCTAATTCTCTCCCTGCATGACCTAACGAGTTGCCTGTACTCTTCTTGAGTTGCCTGCCCCTTCTTCCAAAGGCAGTAGACTCTCCTTTTTTCCCTGAGTCCCAGCAAAAGCTCCCTGTTCAGCCAGGCCGGTCGTCTTGCCCGCCAGTTGGTCTTACGGCACATGGGGACAGCCTGCTCCTACACCTGTAAGACTTCCTTCTTGAAGAATGTCCAGCCTTCCTGGACCCCTTTCCCCATCAGGACTGCCTCCCAAGGGACTTTCCCAACCAGTGTCCTGAACAGGTCAAAGTCTGCCCTCTGGAAGTCTATGGTAGTGGTTTTGCTGGCCCCCCTCCTTACTTCACCAAGAATCAGAAACTCTGTCATATCATGGTTGCTAAGCCCAAGATGGCCTCCAACCATGACATCTCCCATGAGTCTTTCTCTGTTTGTAAACAGCAGGTCAAGTGAGACACCTCCCCTGGTAGGCTCACTCACCAGCTGTGTCAGGAAGTTATCTTCCACACACTCCAAGAACCTCCTAGACTGTTTCCTCTCTGCTGTGTTGTATTTCCAGCAGATGTCTGGTAAGTTGAAGTCCCCCACGAGAAGAAGGGCTAGCGATTGTGAGACTTCTGCCAGCCACTTGTAGAATGCTTCATCTACCTTTTCATCCTGGTAGGGTGGTCTATAGCAGACTCCCAACAGGACATCTGCCTTGTTGGCCTTCCCCCTCATCCTTACCCATAAGCACTCAACCTTATCATCACCACTGTCAAGCTCTATACAGTCAAAGCACTCCCTAACATACAGAGCCACCCCACCGCCTCTCCTTCCCTGCCTATCCCTTCTGAAGAGCTTATAGCCATCCAGTGCAGCACTCCAGTCATAAGAGTCATCCCACCATGTTTCTGTGATGGCAACTAAGTCATAGCTATCCTGCTGCACAATGGCTTCCAGCTCCTCCTGTTTGTTGCCCATGCTGCGTGCATTGGTGTAGATGCACTTGAGCTGGGCTATCAGTTTCACCCCCAATGCACTCCCAACATTACCATGCCACCCTTGGGCTCCTCTCTAGTGAGCCTTCTGTCCCCTTCCCCCTTCGAACCTAGTTGAAAGTCCTCTCGATGAGCCCTGCCAACTCATGTGCAGGAATCCTTTTCCCCCTTGGAGATAGCTGCTGTCACCAGCAGGCCTGGTGCCATGTAAACCTCCCCATGATCGAAAAAACCAAAATTCCACTGGCAGCACCAGCCTCTGAGCCACATGTTAATCACATGCTCAAATCTATAATGTTCAAAAACATGCAAATGCTTCTCAAAGTAGCTTTGTTAATTTGTTTAATTGATGTTTTATGAGCTTCTATTCAGAACTGGTCTGGTCATTGTTCATGGTCTAAAAGAGGCTTGGCTACAGGGAGAAGCCTGCATTTTTCTGCATGATCTTTTATATTTGAAAATTGATACAGCTACAGAAAGGATCTTTGCTCGTAAGAACAACAGCATCATCGAGACTTTTCTAGTGACAAGGCAGTATTTTAGAATGTAATAAATATACTTATACATTGTGAGATAGTTCCAGTCAGCATCTTAATTAGAATGCTAATCTTTAGCTAAGATAATATTTATATCTTGGTGTGCATTTTGAAGGTAAGGATCCTGAATTATGTCTAAAACTTGCATAAAACAGTAGATCCACCCTTTAAAGCCTTTCTATTTTGAGAG